ACCGGGTGCGAAACCCTACGGACTTCCCCCGGCGAGCCTCCGGGGCCGCAGAGCATGCCCCAGTCCCATCGCCCGCACCGCCGGCTTCCCACGCGACGCCGATTCTGCTCCTCCGGGTGTTCGCGGCGGCCGGGGGGGGCGGGGCGGGAGGGCGGGGCCCGCGGGGGGCTCTCCCCGGGACCAAGGCACGAGACCGGGCTGCGCCCCCGGGGCAGCGGGGGTTTGGCCCCTTTGTTTTACTCTTAAGTAATTGTAAGCTCGGGAGGCGAGTGTTTTCCCAACGACGATCAAGGCCCCGCCCGCACGCTGTGAGGGGCCGTTTATTGAAGCCGGACGAGAGCCGAGTTTCACGGTCAGAGGCGGAGCCGGAGCTGGTCGGAACGGCGAGCGCAAGCTCGGCCTCCTGGAGCCCGGGCTCTGAGCACGAGTCTGCGAGCGGCCGAGGGGGCTCCTCCCCACCCCGCCTAGAGCTGCGACCCTTGGGATAACTCCTGAGTGGACGTGCATTTAAAAGGGGCGGCCTGGGACTTCACAGACCGTTTTCCAATTCTGTCCACGCACCAGAGCCCAAAAGCAAGGGAGCCACCTGCGGGGCCACCCCCAGAGGCCTGTTCGGGCTGGGAAGGCGGGACCAGCTGTAACCCGCGAGTCTCCCAACGCCTCCGAGCCGCCCCGCCCGGCCCCCACCTCCCACCCGCCCCTCGGAGTCGCGAGAAAACCCGGAGAGCCCGAGGCTTGGGCCGGAACTGCGCATGCCAGTAGCCCGAGCTGGTGCAGGTTGCCCAACGCAAGGTTTTCTTCGAAGGACCCCTGCGCCCGGGTTGGGGGCGTTCGGCGGGGAGAGGGGGCCCTCCGCCGCGGCGCCCTTTCCTTCCCCGGCCCCCGCCGAGGAGACACCCCTGCCGCCGAGGGGCTGCCCAGGGAGCGCCTCCCACGGTGCCGGAGACTCGCCTGGCGGGGGGAGGGGGCGCACGACGGTATCGCGGGAGACACGTGACTGTCCGTGGCGCTTCGGGCAGCCATCTTCCGCCCGGCCATCGGGCCGCGGGCGATCGGATGGGAACGGACCGGGAGCGAACGGGGTGCGAGCAGAGCGCCCTCGCCCCCGCCACGCCCTCTCGCGGGGCTCTAGCCTCCTCTTCGCACCTGCCTCCGGCCCCGCACCCCGCCCGGCGCCGGAATCGTGGCACTGACCCTCGGCTGGCCGGGCGGGGAGCGAGGGCTGTGAAAGGCAGGGGCAGGCTCCGGGTCGGACGGCCTCTGCTTCCTCCCAGAGGTGGAAGCGGGAGGAAGGGATCCCCTTCCGTGAGGGAGTGACGCCGCTGCTCCAGCTGCCTCCTAGTTCTGCCCTGTTCCCCGCGGAGGAAGCGGGATGTGTTGGCAGCAACATCTGGATAGCGTCCGTCGCTGTTCCCGGCGGTGCAGTGTCCACAGCCTCTTCCGGTGGACAGCTTGGACGGTGATATTAATAGTATTTATTGAGCTCCTGCCACGAAGCACTTGGGGGTCCCAGTGATCGTAGGACCAGCCTTTTTACCATCAGAGGAGAATTGGTTAGAATTGCAAGGGCGGGATGCTGCGATCTCATTAACCAGCCCTCCAGGTGATTCTCCTACATTTCACTTCCACTAAGCCTCGGGGCGGCCCACTTCACACGTGTGGCTTCCAATTGTTGTGTTGTTGACCCTAAAAGACGGTGAGCAGTGGGTAAGTCAAAGCGGCCGGCCGGCCTCGGTGCAGGCTTCTTACCGCGCCCCCCACTCCGGCTTCACGGGCTGCTTCGCCCCGTGACACTAGACTGCGCTTCTCCGGGAGACGGAGAAAGTGCACTTGTCACACAGGACTTTAAAATGACTGCAACTGGGCTCATGTTTTCAGTGTCTCCTGAGGGTGAGGCGCAGTGAGTTATAGTAGCCCTGTTGAGTTTTCCTCCGTTTGCGCAAGAGGTCAAAAAAGGAGTTTGCTTTTTTGTAATGTAAATTTTTCTAATTAAGGAAATGCCAGAAAACCGCTGGCTGGTTTCTCCGGAGCGCTATTTATGCAATGTCGCTTAAGCTTTGGACTTACTAAAAATAAGGTTCAAGCATCTGGTGTAGACTTGTGTCAAGGAATCTTTAAATTTACTTGATTGTAAGTGGTTTTAGTAGGGTGCTCGTTATAATTTTTTTCTAATTTTGTTTGAAATTTTTATAATAAACATTTTAAATGGTTTTCCATGAGTAATTTTAAGACTATTTATATGAAAAAAGCCAGGTATAAAACTATTTCTATTTTATTCCAATTTCATAAAATAATTCAGAAAGAAAAGCTCTCTAAGTTTTTAAATAAAAGACAATAGGCCCCAAATTAAGTCACTTTTGTTCAGTCCCACATCAGCAAACCAAGACCTAATATCTAACCTAATTGCAGTTTCAGCCTCTCCCAGGAATGTAACTTTTAAGCGTTTAATCTGAAATCACCTGATCCACACAAGTGAGTTAATCTTGATTGGTAGACTACACCCTTCCCTCAAAGGAGGGTGCCTTGCCTGAAACAATCCACTTTTTGTTAGAAACTTCCTTCTTTTCCCCCTTCTGCTAATAAAAGCCTTCCATTGTATACAGCTCCTCAGAGATCCTTTCTATTTGCTAGATGGGCTGCTGCCCAATTTGTGATTTTTTTTTTAATAAAGTAAATTTGATCTTTACATTTACTCAGTTGAATTTTGTTTTTTAACAGATTTGGTGGCAGTGGTGGATCCAAAGCAAACTTTTTTTTAAAATCAATTTTGAGAGAGAGAGAAACATTGATTTATTACTCCACTTATTTATGCACTCATTGGTTGCTTTCTTGTATGCACCCTGACCAAGGATCAAACCCGGAACCTTGCCATATTGGGATGGCGTTCTAACCAACTAAGCTACCCAGTCAGTGCCAAAGTACACTTCTGACAGCATTTGGGGACAAGAAACATAGGCATAGCACCCACAAACCCCTTTTGAGTTCTTTGCCTTTTTAACCATTTCCAAGGGCCATGAATAAGTTCTTCTCTATTCCAAACTCGGCTCTCTTTGCATAGAGCTTCCAATCTAATTGGCTTTCCAATACCAGGCAAATCAGCTTAAGCTGACAAATGATTCATCAGTGCCACCTTAGCAGGAGTGGTTTGTGCCCAAGAGGATTTATCTTTGTCTATGGTGGTTATCATTCTCCTTGAGCCTCTGAATGCCTAGATAGCTGGTGCATAACCAGTCAATAACTCTTAGGTTATCTAACTGTGCTCCTCACTATCCACAGACAGAGACACCTCATTGGTCACATCCCCTGAATTCACCTTGTTGTGTTAGAAAGGAACTACCAGGAGGCATTCATGATTCAGGATTCGCTTCCTGTTGGCAGGGCCCTACCAAATGTAAATGTAAATGAAGCTACGGTATGATCGGGAACATCTGAACTCCTGAAAACATTGCAGAATTCACTGCTAAGGCAGTACCTGCCCAAGAAAAATCCTTAAACTCTCTGGTCAAAGTTGATCTTAATTATATAGGATAACCCTTGATTATCTTTTAGCTGAGCAAAGAGTTGTTTGTACTGTCGCCGGCACCACCTGCTACACCTGGATTAACACATCTAGAGAA